CAAATACAACGAAACCAGGGGATGATATGACAGTTTTGGAATGCTTGTTTCTTGGCCGCAAGCAGCAGCATACTTAAATCGCGTTGGGCCATTTGCCCAGGCTGCCGCAAGGACGACAAGCCAGGCTAATGCAGCTGGTGTCCATGAAGGGTTCATTGCGTGCTGAATATGAAAGATTGCCACAAAGACTCTTGCCCTGACGGATGTGCATTGTAAGGAAGGAAACGGATGAAGAGTTAGCTCCGCGGTGCATGGAACGCTAAGTAAGGATGATGGACTGTAAGCGTTAATATTCGGAGCAGGGATTTCTGTCTTTTCGCTCGGTTCTGAAAGTCTAACGTCGATTGCGCATCCCGTTTGTTCGGGAACGTACTTAGATCTGATACGGCTCACCCGATTGGCAATAATGCTTTCTATGCTTGCATAACCATTTTGTAAACACAGACCATTATGCCAAATCTTTGCTGTAATGCCTCTGGCCCAGATGACATTGCATGTGCAACATGTCAAATAAACTCTGCTGCCCTTCTGCAGTGCACTTCAATCCTATATTTGTACATAATATTCGTGTAATATGAAAGGTGACTTCTTGCCAGCAGGGTAATGATCGGAGACCTACTTATGGCATCCCATGGATTATGCGGCATGTATCCGCATCATTTGTTCTGTGTAATAGAATTATTTTAAAAGAAAAATCTCGAAGAGCTATCCTGTTGGTATTTCATGGCTGGACTTCCAGTGCTCCATCCGTACCCAGTGCGGGGCCCGCCCGTCGCCTGCGTAGCTTCGCAAAATTTCGCAAACATTCCTCGTTCACCGGCAGGCGCCCTAAGTGCTACAAAGGTCGTAACACATCCAGCTTCAGAAAAATAGCATGTAGACGTGTTGTTGGACTGCCACTGAACAAAATCTTAAACAAACGGACCTTCGTCCAACTCTCGACCATCAGAAACTGTCATGTCGCGAAGGCGCTTGTCTCAATAACCACTTGTTAGCACGTGTCATTAGCTCACTGTTAATAAATCATTCTCATTTCGCTTCCTACCACCTTTCAACTATACCACGTCTGCCACCGCCGCGGCCATGGAGCCAGCAGTGGAATTATTTACCCGCTTATTTACGGCCGCGCTGGCAGCGATTACGAATTGGCGACAGAATCAGAATGTGGCGAAGATGCTCGTCTTCAAGCTTGCCTGCTTCATTGCCTCCCTTCCTTCACATCCACGGGTGAAACTCGTCTTCCAAGGGCATCACGGTCTGGCACCAGTCGATGCGTCCCCAACAAGCATATATGATATGGAATTCAAAGATGGCAACGGCAAAGTAAGGACGCTGCTCGTCTTTTTGCTGTCATGAAGCCCGTGACGGGAGACACCTTCCAGGCCTCCTCAATCACAGCTTCCTGTGAGGGAAGATTCAACCCGCGGATCTCGTTGAGGACGTACAATCTGCCGCCGTC